TAGGTGAAACGAGCTAGATGACGCTAGCAAGGTGAAACGAGCTAGATGACGCTAGCAAGGTGACGCTAGCAAGGTGACGATAGCTAGATGACGCTAGCAAGGTGACGCTAGCAAGGTGACACGAGCTAGATGACGCCAGCAAGGTGACGCTAGCAAGGTGACGCTAGCAAGGTGACGCTAGCTAGATGACGCTAGCAAGGTGACGCTAGCAAGGTGACGCTAGCTAGATGACGCTAGCAAGGTGACGCTAGCTAGATGACGCTAGCAAGGTAACGCTAGCAAGGTGACGCTAGCAAGGTGACACGAGCTAGATGACGCTAGCAAAGTGACGCTAGCTAGATGACGCTAGCAAGATGACACGAGCTAGATGACGCTAGCAAGGTGATGCTAGCTATTTGACGCTATCTAGGTGAACCTATCCAGGACTATAAAAGGAAAGACACATCCTATCTCTTTTTCTTTTTCATTTTTTACTAAAATTAATTCTTTTATATTACAATTATTACAAGTTATGAATTTCTTCTACTCGTCGCAAAGTTTCATTTTTACTATAACTTTGACTTTCATTAAATCTTTTCCGCCATTTCTTTTTTCTGAACAACGTTATTTTTCTATCACTTTCTTATACATTTTTCTTTCTTAATATTACTCGTTTTCTTCCTTTTTCTATTTTTTCTTCTTTCTCTTTTCTTCTTTCTCGTGTAACTCAAATACTTTTTATGTTTTCATGTTTTTTCTTCTCAATTTTCTTGTCTCTTCTTCTCATGAGATTTCTTACTTCTTCTTGATGTTAACTACCTCAGTATGAAAGCCAATTAAAAAAATCAATCAATACACAAATCGATCAGTGATTAATAATAGATGTATGTGTTTATAGAAAGAATGCAAGAAAATACTGAGAGTGGAGTAGAAGAGAAAAAAACAAAATAGGAAATATATTTATATAGATCAAGAAATCGATAAATCGATATATAGATTTTTCATTTCTCAGGAAATATCTTTATTTGCTCTCATATATCAAATGGATGGCCGCATGTCTAGTTTTATCTATGCGTCCGTATATGAAGTCAGAAATTCGTATATCAGGTTTATCCTTGTGTGTTCTAGAGTATTAGTTCGAATGAGAATCATAGAGAATTCTTTGTACATACATACAGATCAGAACGTTTATTTGCTTTTAGCATTCGGCTCACGAAAAGGCAGATAGATTTTGGTGCTATTGCATTGAAAACTACTGCTAATAACCAATTATTTTTGTTCGCTTTATTGCAGGTAGCACTTTAATGGCTGGTAAAATGGCCTCTGACACAAAGTACGTACAAACCTGATCTGCATTATTGAATTCCTCAAAGCAGTCAGGCTTAAGTCCATTTCAGGTTGAAATATAGGTTTGCCTACGATCACCGAAGTTAAACAAAGTCAATCCTTGTTAGTACCTAGATGCAGGGCAACTTGGTAACACCAGGTGCTGTCAGCTTGGATATGCAGGTGGTGTAATGTATAATGGCTTGAAATTGTTAATCGGAGAGCTGAGTTCAAATTATAGCTGCGTTCGTTTTATATTCACTTACGAGTAAATATCCTTGGGAAAGATATGAATCCACCCCTTCTACCCCCGTCTATGGGTTAATTACTTAATATCATTATTATCTTCAAAAAAAAAATTCAAAATTCTTAGAATCTAAGAAATATTTTCTGGTTTTAAATAACCGGTAAAGGGTTGATAAGCCGTAGAAAATCAATCAATCAATCATTCCATTTCATCTATAAGAACATTATTCTGACGTAAATCAATTCACTCCAAGCAATGCAATGATGCTACTAAGATTAAAGTGTGGTGTGAAAGAGAATGAGATAACTTTTCAAGAAAACGCAATCCTAAATAGGAAACAATGGATAAAACTATACTCATGTTCAAAAGTTGAAGAGGAGTGGAAACCGGGCGATAGGCGAATTTATCTACTCCTATTGAGTAAAAATAAACAATTAAAAATAAACAGTAAATAAAGTTTCGCGGTTTAATCGGAAACGTCAGAAGTAGAGATCGGGGTAGATTTTAGAAGTAGCCGGAAGCACAATCCTTAACAGGAAACAATAGTGCAAAACATGTTTAACAGAATTTTTTCCATTTTATAATTCAGTTACTATTGCGGATTCCGGGATGAAATCAGGTACCAATAAATAACAAACGCCAAGAAGGAATATAGGAAAATAAATATATTAATGTAATAATACAAACTGGTAATGCAGGTTAGTAGTTCCAGGAATGCGGGTTAGTAGCAAAATATATATATATAGTCTTTCCTTGCTCACTGTGACTCTTGCTCCTTACGTTCGTGCTGGTTCGTGCTCGTTCGTACTTCATTCTCGTTCTCCTCCCGGGTATTCACTAGCATTAGTATATGTATACCCTGGGTGAGTCCATTTGTTTAAAAAGGGGAGAATCCCTCAATAGTTGCCTTATTTCTCAATGGATCGACAGTGTAATATCTCTACACAT